CCAAGCTTAGTTTACTAGAAGATATTAGACGCAGTTGTAAAACAGGGCGCCACTGAATTACCTGAAACAATTGATGAAATCTACTGCATATAAATATGTATAATTTAATGCATACACCACAAATCCGTTGGCGAAGCAAAAAAAACGAGTGTATCCTTACCATAATAATAAGAAATTAAAGAGAACAGCATTCACAAATGGATATAACATCTCTCTACCCCCATTCAGCCGCATATGACCTGCTTGGGGTTACAACAGGTCAAAATCCTTAGTTTGTTCATATGACCTTTGTAAATTGGTATTGTATGGGGCCTACTTCAAGGGATATTTGTGCCTAGTCTTATGTTAATTGGCCCAATTATGACTGAAAAGCAACTTAAGGTATACGTTTGAACTCTCGTCCCATAAAATATTTAAAAATCACCCCCACCCCTAACACACAAATAAATGAAATGTGTGGCAGTATTTGTCTATGGCAAAAGCCCTTGCATATCTATACTAGCTATTTTAGAAACTATACGTATAAAGGTTGTTCCTTACTTCGAGAATAGTCTATATCCTCCAGCAGGAAAGTCCATTTATGTATATGCTTTACCATTGTTTTCTTTCATACATAAACTGAAGACAATCCTCTTCCAAAAGTACCTAGTTATTGTCAATGGGATTTTGGGTAATTGGTTCCAGCTCACCGAAAATTACATATAAACTAAAATTAAATGCAGTAAAGTACTTACCTTGAGGTGTGCATGTAGATGATGGGAATTAGAAGTGGGGCTGTAGGAGAAGGGAGAAGAGAAGGCAGTGGGGTGGAAGAGAAATCACCCCATGCTTCATGTCGCCATTTCACCCATAAAATTTTAAGTTCACTTGGTGTAATTCAAGATTATTTTCTTTAAATCAACACTGCACTATATATTGTCAATAAGAAAAATAAATTTCAGAATGACCAATAATTGAACTGTAAAAACGTAAAAATAGTTTATGTTCAAGAGTCAAGTGGCTGTTTGGCGCACTAAAAACTAGTTCCCTGTACTTCAATTATGTTAAATAATTGTTAAAATGACTAAAAAATTTTAATACAAGACTTGGAAAATTATTGAATAGTACAACCTTCTTGATCTTTACTCAAATGGTAACGAATTTAAGCCCTAAAACCGATACCGTTAAGTCTAAGGTTTTCTACGCTAACTGTCTGCCTTTACAAAGGGTTCAGCCCCATTCTAAGAATAGACATTTCAACGTTGTTCAAGTTCAATAAAAAAGCGTTTTCTTAGCTCCACCACCGGATTTACATTTTATGTTTTAAAAATAACATGTATAGTCATTAGCAGTAATTGCCCCCCCACTAGTAGCCGGAGCAACGGCAAGTAGAGGCCTGGCGCTCGGACAAACCTTCTTCCTCCTCTGTCTAAATGTTGCTGGGTAGTTTCGGAACAATCGTGGCTAGCGTTGATGCATTGTGTCAATATCGGCTTTCACTGGCTGTGGCTCCGGGTACTAAGGAAGGGAGGGTTAGCAATTATTGATTTTGACTGTTTACATATTATGATTACTTCAACCAATTTTGGGCTATAACGTGACACGCCCATATTCCACACCTGAACCGAAAAAAAATATACTGTATGCATTTTGCTTTCACTGTGACGAAGTTTTCTTTCATGCACACTAAACGCCTAAGAACCGTGCACATGTTCAGAGTATTTCAGCATTCACCGTGCAGTATGAACAAAACACAGATTGCACCCCAACACACACACTGGAGACTAGACCTTGTCAGTGTTCGACCGAGGTAAGCGCTTGACTGAGCCCGCTGGACCATTTGGACCAAGGAATCGCCACCCTCACAAGAACTACCCAATGAGTCAACGACCTTGTCAGGAATCTCAACTGCGATACATACACTATTATGATTATTTCTGAGGTGTTGCCACGTTGTAGTCTCAGTACTTATTTATTTGTGATATGGAACAGTAGCGTCAATATTATAAAGTAGCATTTATTTTTCCCTTCCATAACTCAACAACTATTCAAGAAACTATCTTCTGTAAGTCGTGGCTCCAAATAATTTTATCTGAATACAGTAATTCACATAATCAATGCCGGGATCAAGGTTAATTATCGTCATAAACCTAGACATCACGAAGAAACCACAAACTAACATGAAGGATACGTATAATTTTACTTAACCCAAACGATAAGACGTGTGAAGGAGACGCCAGAGAGCGAGGGGCTTGGGGCGCTCATCTGGACACATAGCAATCTGTCTGGTATGTTGTTTTGATTAATGGATCACTTTTCAGATTTGATTAATAATGGTGTTTGGTATTTAGTTCTGCTCATCCATAACTCTGTTTCTAAACCAAGGTTAACCTAATTCCCGACTAAATCTAAATTTTTCTAATTTAAAATCACTGCTACGTGTTAGCTAATGATTCAATAGCTATATCGTCCTTCACTCTACGACTCTCAGAATGTAAATTAAGTTTTATTAATCTGTCTTAACAGTCAAGGTTCCTAATGCCTGAGATGAACTTTATTATCCTTTTTTTTATGATATCTCGAGAAACAATATCCAATCTACAGTAAGGTGACTCAAACTGAACCGCATAATCCAAGTGAAATCTCACATACGCAAGATATAATTATAAGATAACACCACTTCTGTTATTAACGACCCTAGGTATGACCCACAGTACGTTGTTTACCACATGAAAAAAAATGATAACTGTAATGCCATGTAACATCGATATTATACGAATTATTGTATAAACAGTTAAACAAAAGCCATCAAGTGTGTGTGTATTGTTTATCATTAATGTTATCTAGAGTTGACTAGAAGGTTATCAAGGAGCGACTGTCGGTCCCCGTAACTAAACAAGCATCATTATTCGTGGCTGATACTGGACAAGTTGCTACCAAGTCGTATATTGATGGATGTAAGCAACGTGGAGAAATACATATTATAATTTTGGTGTTTGTTTTGTCTAAATAATATTTTTTTAAATATAATCTCACAGGATGGGATGAGAGACCCCTGTATCGTGCCTCTGTACTGTACGTCAAGCCTATGTGACGCGTTCTCAGAAACTCAACCCTCTACCCCACCACTAGCACCATGTTCTCTCGTAAACTAGAAAACAAGTTATTATCTACACTACTATGAATATCCCGCGTGTGAGCCCGACATACATGCCTACAGTATATCCAGCCCCCACTTTCCATCATACAGGGAATGAAGAGGGAAGGAGGAAGGGGGGGGGGGGTGGAGGTTGTCGTATTGTAAAGAAAAAAAAATCTCTACTTTGGCTGACAATAATTTCCAGCACTGCAACCACCCGGTAAAATAAACAAATTCGCTTAATGGAACAACGAGCTAATTATTAATTGCACAGCGGTTTTACAGGAATGAACTCATGAAATTTAACGATAGAAGTTTGGTAATCTCCCCTTTAAAAGACTATAGATTCGCCCCGCCTTAAATCATCAAAACAAGTTAGTTCACACCGGAATATAACTAGACCATTACGTTGTTAACTTACCCCTTCGGAATAAAATAATGAACATTTAATGCAAACGCCTAAAAGAAACACAGTCAATCAGAAGTAGAAGTTGATTAGATTGGTAAAAATGGTCATATTATACTACATACAACACTATACATCACTCGAGAAGACAATACACTATAACATGACAAACAAACTAGCTACATCTGATCTAATTCAACTGATGGTTAGTCATTATTTTTGTTCACTCTTGTACAGTGTTATAATATGATCAATGATATTCTTTTTAAATTTATTTCAGTTTTGTACTTAATACACCAGTAAGGATATAAGTTGTTACAATGTTTTTTTAATACATCACGAGTGTGTAAGCCTATATCTACTGCACTAACTTATTTCCTCTAAGATATGATAAATTAATTATGCAAACCGTACAATACAGTGAACAAATCTCCCTATATTCATAAACATTCAGCCTTTTACACTTTTCGCGTCTATAAGAGTTCCTCCTACAAATGTCTTTTGGTATTGATATAACACTAACTGAAGTGGACCTACACAATGTTTACTACTATTAGTATAAACCTCACGCGGGCTTGTTGACCAAATGAGGTGTAAGATAACCCATAAACTCTTCTCTACCGATAACCCTTTATATGTGTGACAGCAAATAATATACTTTAAGTGTAGATAAACGATAGTACTTCCTCCATATGACAGTGTCTCTATTCAGGTAAAAATACTATGCAAATAAAGCTTGTGTCGATGCACAATGGTGTTTCCTGACGTACACTTGAGGCGTGGGTGATGCTAGGATACACAACGCTATTGATAGTGCTGCAGAAAACTCTTGGGTGGTGCTAGGGTCCACAGCACTCTTAGGCAGTACTGTTGATACTAGCTGAAAACACTCTTGGGTAGTGCTGGGATAACTAAAGCAGTAAATAATGAAGGGTGGGGACGTCTGATTTGCATTAGGATACATAGAACACTGTTGGTAAGGGAAGATATTTTTGAGAGGCAGTAAGATACAGTCTGCTGGTAGTGATAAAAGGATACTAGACTGGATGATACAGGGATACATAGAACACTGTTGGTAATAGAGAGGTTGAATTAAGTGACAGCAAGATACATACTGTAGAGCACTGTTGGTGGTGGAGAAAGGGTATACATAGAACACTGTTGGTAATAGAGAGGTTGAATTAAGTGACAGCAAGATACATACTGTAGAGCACTGTTGGTGGTGGAGAAAGGGGAATGGATGGTATTAAGATACATAGAGCATTCCTAATGGTGGAGGAAGTGGTACTAGGATACTGTTAACAGTGGAGGAGGGAGACTAGATGACAGTAGGATATATGGAACACTGTTGGTAGTAGAGGAAGAAGGCTCTGGATGGTACTAGGATAAACTGCTGGTAGTGGTAGACGTGGTCCAAGGATACCATGTTAGTATTGGAGACTCTTGGACGCTCTAGGATAACACAAAACACTGTAGTTCGGTTTGAATCGTATTTATGTCTACAAACTAGTACATTCTATAATAATTGAATATATGTTATATATGCAAAACACATAATGCTAGGTGCACATATTAAATAATAAATCAATAAATTAAACTTTTAAATTTTCATCTTTAGAAACTAAACCATCATTTTGTCTTGCTATAAATCCAACAGAAACTAAAAAAGCTTCTATTGGCATAAATCAACACTTCACATGGAATGGCGAGAGCATAACAGGTTCCGTGGGGAGATATAGTGAAAAACAGGGCCGCCCTCTATCGAAATGTAAGACCAAGGCACTTGAAACACTGGACGTTTACCAAGGCGACCCTTCCGGTTAGTGCTGTTGATAACTGCGTTAAATTTTGTGTGGAAAGTTTGTGTAGCACCCCCAACCCAGGTGGCGCCAGGCCGTGGCGAGTTGAAGCTGCAGCCATGGCTGGTAACAGGCTGTGGTGTGCTGTAGCGGTAGCCATAGAATTGTTGCTAGGCTGTGGTGTGTTGGAACAGCAACCACAGTGTTGTCGCCAGGCCATGGCGTGTTGTAGCGGTAGCCACAGGTTGGTTCCAGGCCATGGTACTTTGAAGCGGCTGTTGCAGGGTTGACGCCAGGACATGTGTGTTGTAGTAACAGACGCAGGGTTAGTACCAGGCCTATTTTAATGGCAGCAGAGTTTGGCGCCAGGTGATGGCAGTTGGAGACACCACGGGAACTGGCAGCGGGAGGGAGAGCACCGAGTGAGGGGGATAGGGGTCCACAAACTTTATACTATGTAATTTTGCCTTCGGTTTGGTCTTGTGTTCCTGCTGTTGCAGTTTGTCCCCACAGAACCAGTGCTTCAGAAAACACCAGAAAGTTATCAACCAATCCAGCCCTGAGCCTGGTGGAGCGACCTGATACTGTCTATGCATGGGTCAGGGCTAGATAGTTCAAGTCACCTCGACACACAGATGCCGAAGGAATGGACATCAATAGCATCATCAACGGGTACAACAAGCCTGTAGTTGAACTGGGAGAGAACATGTAACATCAAATCAAACATGGAATAGCTCTGATTCAATAACTATGGAATACTTCAACCACGGTCCACTGACTCAGTGACTAGCCGACGCCTGTTGACGCCGGCCCTGTCAGCACGGACCTCATTACAAACTAGCTTCTGGAAGCAAACACTTAACTGTTCTTTTACACTCTAAGGTATGGACTAGACTGGAAAAAAACATTGGTTTGGTTGCTGCTAACCCGTACGCCGGTCAGCTGGGGTTAGTGGAAAATAATAAAGAGAGATGTAGAATGTCAGAAAGAAATAGATTTTTTTAGAGTCCATAAAGAGAGTATGGAATGCATATAATCACCTTAAAAACTTTTTTTTAAATTTGATTTTAAGAAAATATAGCATCAAAAAGACTAAAGTTCACGATCAATAGGGAAACAATCCTCATACAAAAGCAATCACATCACTACCCATTTCTAAGGTGCCTAATTTGTTAACGTTTCTGGTACGGGTCTACACTGGCAGCAGGGAGTGATGACTGTGGTGGCAGCCTGCGGTCCTCAAGCACCGCCAGGCTGCCACACTTGCTGCTAAAGCTTTTGACCCACACAAACTACGTTATGGAATGTAATAAAAACGCCTAAATGGAAGTACCAGACGATTAACACGGTTGTACATTTAGCACCAAGGTTTTGGTTTGAAAAGCATTATTACCATATGTCTTGAGAATGTACTGTCTATGGCATTTTTAATAGCATACAATAGCAAATACAAAAACAAATCAATGAAGAAATTTGACATGAGCATAATAGACTGCCAGAGACAATACACTGCCAACTAGCTCTGCATGTTCACACAACTTTACTGACAAAGAACACTGAACTGTACTGAGGGTGGTGTAGGCCCCTCCCAACACTGACACTCAGTGATGCACACACTGCACCAGGGAGGGGAGGGGGGGCTAAACCACGAGAACTACACCAACAAAAATCCACTTGTGACTTCTGCTAATACATTTGTTTGACAAGATAATAATTGTCCATGTGTCTTTTTGGTTTTGTAATTATAAACAACTTGCATGAGTGGAAAGCTTCGAGACAGATTGACAGCTTCTATCTACAAAGCTTAAAAAACAGAAACCCCATCACCATATTGGCTAGTAAGTTTGTTAGTAGAGCAGAGTGCACTACGGAAGAGGAAAAGGTTAGTCAGATCTGAGCAGTCTCGAGATCACTTTGATATTCATACTTTGGGTCAGGTTTCTCAACATAGGTAACTGATTATGCCTTGGTCTGCATCACAACAGACCGGAGATTCATTCATGTGACTAGATCTCACATACGATGTCTTCTTGCAGTCAATCTTAGTTTACGACCACCACAAAGCAAGGCCACTTTGGTTTGTCTTATGCTCGCAGGTAACTCGCCTAACACGGGTGGTTGTGAGCAAGTGTCTGTGACTTGGGGTATTGCCTTCTTGTGGTGAGAGGAGGGGGGCGGGCGCGGGCGGACCATCGACGTCCTCTTGTGCTGTGGGCGTAGTAGCGCCTACAACAGGGGCGCCGTTACCCGCAGCCCGCTGTGGGCCCCGGCCAGTGTGTGTGCCCCCGGGGCCAGACTATGGAGTGTATGGGCTTGACTGTGTGGTTGGCTATTATAACTTGGTAACTGGGAACCACCATCAACAACTATCCTACATGCATGACTTAGAACTAGGAGCCTTAATTGAGAATCAGTGCAAAAAATCAAAATAAACAGATAAAATAAAACTAGGACCTGGGTAGCTAGCATGTGACTAGGAGACTCTTGCATGCGACGCAGCGCATGACTTGAGAAGTGTGGTGCAGGTAGGGGTGGGGCAAAGGGGCGCCCCCGGTGGCGAGGGTGAGGGTTGGCCCCAACCCCGGCTTGGAGGCGCCCCGGAACTTCGGGGGCCTGAGGCGGGTGTCGGGGCTATGGCAGCATCGCCCAGGTGGGCTCACATGGCCGCGAGTTCACAAGTCATCCTCTCGCTCGAGGAACCAAACAAACAAGGGAAACAAAAGTAAACTATATACAAATTGGGTACATTGGGCTGTCAGAAAGATCTCATCATTGTTACTGGAAGGCATGGAAAGGCACAAATGCTTTGTCTCATAGATATTCACAATAAATCAAGGCTACAACATTTGGACAAAATTTGAGACATGCACCTTCAATATTTGTATCATGATAATAATAAAAGAATGCCCATATAACAGTCCTCCATCTTAGCCTTCTTTTGAACATGTCTTCCTTTAATAGTCCAGCCTTAGGCCGCTCAGTCACTGGTATATACAGAATCTCTATCTCCTAGGTGTTGCAGCTGAGGTGACAGCTGAGGTTGCTGCAGCTGTTGATGCTGCAGCTGAGGTAGCTGCAGTTGAGGTTGCTGCAGCCGAAGTGACAGCTGAGGTTGCAGCATTTGAAGATGCTGCAGTTGAGGGTGCTGCAGAGGGTGGTTGGGCGCGAGCCGCAGGTTGTGGTACCGCCAGAGCCGGGTGTCCTCCGGCTGGGGCGGGAGAACACCGCTACTCAAGCTGCTCCAGAAACGTCGGAGACTTGAAATATTCGGGTACCGTCTCGTCGAGACGCGCGATCACCTTGTAAATGGCTTTCTTCCAAGACTGTTCCGTATCCTTTTGTTCCTGAATTGCCTTGAAGAATTCCTTCATCGTTTGCTCCACCACATATCTGAAGTGCTCAGGGATCTGCTTTAACAAAAAAGAAGATGTAAAAATTAGTTTTGAAAGGAAAATATTTATAAGAAAAGTCCTACCACAACAATGCTCTTAAGTACCCTGTATATCACCATTACTAGTGTTCAGTGTCTTAAACAGTGGAAATTTCATGATCAACTACAACAGAGTATCTTATTCAGTGGTATATTTAACAGAATAATCCTACACCATATGTCTCTCCCTCCCTCTAGTCCTCACCTTATTTCCTTTTCCTCTGTCTCTATCTTCTGCCTCACTTCCTTACACTTTCTCCTTTTCCTCCATCTCTCTCCCTGCTTCCTTTCCGTCTATCCCTCCCGTGTTTACTCTCTCTACCCCTCTCTCTCTCTCTCTCCCTGTCTCCCATCTCTTTCGTCCCTCACCCTTCCTCTCCATGTGCTACCCATCCCTTTCGTCCCTCTTCTTGTCTCATTTTCCCCTACTTCTTCCCCATTTTCCCCTACTTCTTCCCCATTTTCCCCTATAACTCCTCATTTTCCCTTATAACTACAAGAATGGCCACAAACCTCTAAGTGGTTGTTGCGGTTGTAGTGTAGGTTAAGGGCACGGATGATTTCCGCGTCCATGTTGACCGCAATGTCATCTCCGTTCTTCACCCCCTCACTCAGGTACTGTCGCGCGTACTTCTCCATTTGGATATAGTAGAACTCCCTGCCGAGGTGAACAAACAGTCAGTTATACGAGTCTTGTATCAACATCTTAATCATAGTAGTAATGGTGGTAGTGGCTGTTGTAATAGTAGCAGCGGTAGTAGTGGCGGTAGTGCTGGTGGTAGTGAAAGTAAAAGTAGTGCTGATGGTGAAAGCAATAGTAGTAGTAGTAGTAGTAGTGGTGTAGAAGTAGTAGAAGTAGTAGCAGTAGTAGTAGTAATATAATAAGTAGCAGGAATTGCATTAGTATAAGCAGTAGCAAAGGTAATGGTAATAATAAAAATACAATACAACAGTCATAATAATAATAATAATAATAATAATAATAATAATAATAATAAAAATAACAACAATATTCTCTATAATAATTGTTATTCTCAGAGCACATTCATGTACAACCAAAAGAGTAAAACACATCATCACAGTAAAGACTGGTGGCCACAATAAGGCTCACACACCATCACAGTAAAGACTGGTGGCCACAATAAGGCTCACACACCATCACAGTAAAGACTGGTGGCCACAATAAGGCTCACACACCATCACAGTCAAGACTGGTGGCCACACAAGGCTCACACACCATCACAGTCAAGACTGGTGGCCACACAAGGCCCACACACCACCACAGTAAAGACTGGTGGCCACACAAGGCCCACACACCATCACAGTAAAACTGGTGGCCACAGTAAGGCCCACACACCATCACAGTAAAACTGGTGGCTACAGTAAGGCCCACACACCACCACAGTAAAGACTGGTGGCCACAATAAGGCTCACACACCATCACAGTAAAGACTGGTGGCCACAATAAGGCCCACACCACCACAGTAAAGACTGGTGGCCACAATAAGGCTCACACACCATCACAGTAAAGACTGGTAAGGCCCACACACCACCACAGTAAAGACTGGTGGCCACAATAAGGCCCACACACCATCACAGTAAAAACTGGTGGCCACAGTAAGGCCCACACACCACCACAGTAAAGACTGGTGGCCACAATAAGGCCCACACACCACCACAGTAAGGGCTGGTGGCCACAATGCAGAAAGGAGGGCAAAGTCCCGCCGTGACCCGTGGGTGATGCGGGTCCCGTACCACAATGAATATTAATGCAGAAGAAAACTAGTAGGTGATGGAGGAGTGTTTTAGGCCGTGGGGGTGAAGGTGGGAGGGAGGGAGGGGATAGCGTGAGTGAGGGGGGGGGGGGATAACGTGAGTGGGAGGGGAGGGAGGGAGGGATGACATGTATGGGGGAGGGGGACGGAGAGATGATAGCGTGAACGGGGAGAAGGAGGAAGGGAGAGATGACGTGAGTGGGAGAGAGGGAGGTAGGATATCAGTGAGGGAGAGAAGGAAGGATAGCAAGAAGGGGAGCGGCATAATACGGGGACACAGAAAATAAGATGAGATAAAAAGTATCCAGAGAAAGGAGACTATACAGGTGGATAGAGAGAGAGAGAGAGAGAGAGAGAGAGAGAGAGAGAGAGAGAGAGAGAGAGAGAGAGAGAGAGAGAGAGAGAGAGAGAGAGAGAGAAACCGCGTGAAGGGTGTAAGGGGGGTGGAGGGTTAACAAGGTGGGTGGATGAAGCACAGCCGCGGATAAAGAGGGAGGTGCAACAAAGCAAAGGTTAACGAAGCAAACGAAGAACACTAAAAAAAACTTACACGGCTGATTAGCGACAATAAAGGGTAGATGCGAGAGGAAGGGAAGAGAGGGAGAGAATGGGTAGGTAGGAGAGGGAGAGAATGGGGAAGTAGGTAGGTAGGAGAGGGAGAGAATGAGAGAATGGGTAGGTAGGAGAGGGAGAGAATGAGAGAATGGGTAGGTAGGAGAAGGAGAGAATGAGGAGGTATGTGGTGGTAGGAGAGGGAGAATGATAAAAAAAAGCGGAGGAAGAAAGAGAATAAAATAGTAGGGGTAAAAGGAGATGAAAAATGAGGGGGGGATGGAAGGAAAGATACATGAGGTATGGAGGAAATAACAACCCTCACAACCCTCACCTCCCACAACCCACCTCACAACACACCTCACAACCCACCTCACAACCCACACCTCTCACCCCCACAACACACCTCACAACACACCTCACAACCCTCACCCCCCACAACACCCCTCACAATACACAGGTTCAGGCTTCATGTACTGGAATGAAGGGCCAAAGTTAATAATATTTTCTCTAATATTCACGTTTATTAATTTTATATTATTGTCAGTCCCTCCTCACACCCTGCCCCCCGGCACTGTGAGGCTGTCGGGAAGGAGTCGGGGGGTGGGTGTTTGAGAAGAGGAGGAAGGTTAGGAAGGGAATTAGGGAGAATATTAGAGAGATAGAGAGAGAGAGAGAGCCAGGTGTTGTGGAGAGAACACCTGTGTCTGTGTGTGTCTGTGTGTGTTTGTGTGTGTGTCTGTGTGTGTGTGAGTTTTAATTAATCACGTTATAACTACCATTTTTATCGTCAGTGTTGTGAGTGGGCGGCACAGTGACCAACCCTCGTCTACCACCCCCCCCCCCCTATTCACTTCATTATAGTCAATTGTTATGACTTGGTTATCATTTTTAATTATGTACCAACTTATCAGTTAGCGCTAGTTACCATCTCTAATTTGCCTCATTTTTACTGTTATTTATCATTTTAACTATGTCCCTATTTGTTAATTATTGTTATCTCGTCATTATCAAGATCATTAACTAAGTACCGTTATTTTCTTTCTAATAATAACTCTAGAATTATTAATTTATTATTAAATTTTCATCAGCAGTGTCTCCGTTTACTATAACATCATAAAACTGGCGTCACAGCTCACCGAACCACGACCTACTAGTTAGTCCACCAGAGATACAAGCACGACGTTCACCCAAACTACGACGTCATCAAACACCTCAATTATGACGTCATCACCTTCCCGGTCCACCCTTCTCTCAATAATCATGACGTCACGGCCGCCACACACTCAGGGGTGATCTTCGCATAATTACCCGAAATTAAAAAAAAATCGATCTGGGGGGAGGGGGAGGGGGAGGTTGATAGTGCCATCTTACACTCAACGCAATTACCAAAGTAAATAATAAGAAAAGAGCAACAACAATTTGCAAGTAAACAAAAGGAGTGAAGACAATAACAACATCAAGTCACCAAGGCTCATATGTCACACCTTCTCCTCTCCTGTTATCACGTCTCTTCTCTCTCTCCTCCCTCCCAGCCTTATTAATATACGTCACTTCTGTTCTCTTCCCGTCATTCTATTTCTACTCTTCTTTTCCCTTGACTTACTTCACTCCCCTTCTTTCTCTTCTACTCTACGCCTCTTCTTTCCCCTCAGTGCCTCCCCTTCACCTCCCTCTTTCTGATGTTCACAACAGATGGCGTGCTAGACACTTGGTTAACGAGAGAGAGAGAGAGAGAGAGAGAGAGAGAGAGAGAGAGAGAGAGAGAGAGAGAGAGAGAGAGAGAGAGAGAGAGACCAGGGCTTTAAAAGAAAGATAGTAAAACAAAAGACGAAGCAAAAATAAAAACAAACTCAAGGTTAAGTTCACGAAGAACAAGGTGAGGGTGAGGGGAGGGAGAGGGTAGGGTAGGGGGAAGGGTAGGGTAGGGGGAAGGGTAGGGTAGGGGAGAAAGGGGGAGGGTGGAGAAAGTGAGGGGGGGGTGGTGGAAATTAGTGAGGGTGGAAACAGAGGGTCGTAGATGTGCAGATTGTATTATGGTAACTAGAAATGGAGGTTGGTGTATAAAAACGGGTTAAGGAATTCCAATGATAAACCAACTATATAATACTTCCGAACAATGATTTTTATATGTTATTGGATTCTTATTATTATTATTGTTATTATTATTATTATTATTATTATTATTAAATATCCTAATTTCTCATGTCGTTGATCATTTAAATAAATAAAATCGGATAACAAATTGCTTATCTCGTAAACAATAACAACTCCGCCATGACACAAATATAAACAATAATAATTAAAGGTTGCGTAAGTGATCCACAATAATGTAAACACAGGCGTGACCACTACGTGATGTCGCTCTGTGAGAAGGGATTTAAGATCGCATAAATGACTTCTGCTGAGAATTAACCTGTCAGAGATCTAGGCACATTCTGCGACTCCCTTCCCCACCCCCTCCCCCTAGGCGTGGGAACGTGCAAAGTATCTCTTGACTAAAGTAAAGTTATGAGTCAGAAGGAGGGAGTGGTGCGGGAGCTCTCGGTGGCGCAATGTAAGTGTGTGGCACAGTAATAAAGTGAACATCTGGATGAGAGAGAGAGAGAGAGAGAGAGAGAGAGAGAGAGAGAGAGAGAGACTAAGAACTATGAAACCAGGTGAAAAATCTCCAAATGCACACCCCATTAGTGGCCATTTCAGAATAACTACCACACCCACTTGGCCTAACAGCCTAGCCTCACCATCCACTTGGGTAAAACTCCAAGCAGCACTAGCCTGGTTGCCTCCAATACCTCCCCAGCGCGCACTTAACCTCATCTGGGTTTCTTACCGGTTTGTTCGTTGGCCGTTTAACCACATCTCGCAAGGCAGTGAGTTAAGTTAATTGCTTTAATTTATGGCCCACTAGCAACCTCCATTTGTTCGCGTGGTTGCTCAGGTCTTGTCAGGAAATAAAATTGGGGTGATAGATGGCTGTGGGCTCACCCGCAATCATACACTTTTTCCTCTCCTCTCTCTGAGAAAATTAGCCTCGTGGCCTGGAACTGTTTGAACAACACACTCTGAAACCCACTGAAATGTTATCTTCAAAGAAACGGGTAAAATTCCCCCACCAGTAAAGGTTGCACTCAGACAAGCGTTAATTATATGACTAAAAAGCGCGGGAACAAATGACATTGCACGGGAACATCTCTGAGTTTGTAAACAACGCCGCATCTCCTCGGCTTCGTCAAAAATATGTGTTAATTAGGCTAACGAGGCCACAGATAAGACTGGAGATGCCGAGACTAAACCCTAAACGACTCCTCAGAGGGCAATTTGGCCCATA